AAGATATATATTTAAAATATCTATTAAAACATTCTGTCACCTTAGTTGAAAAACACCACCACATCCTTTGATGTGAGACATGGGTACAGTATTAAAATTAAAATGCAGTCTGTGATTACCATATCTTATCTTGTATTGTATGAATGTTGCCATGATAGGTCGAACAACTGCATTACGTCATTAATCAATCCATTGTAATAGGAAAATTTTGTAGATACAAACTATACCCCACATGCAGTTATATCACATGCCCAATGATTTTTCTCTTTATTGCCTAAAATACAGCCACATAAAGGGCATATTTATATTGTCCTCTATTAACAACGCTAAACCTTTTAATTTCAGAGATTAATAGTGTGTACTATTTAAATGGGTGTCTTGCTGTTGGTTTTGTTACAGCTCTTCACTATACCATCAAGCATGTATTGATTAAAAGATAAAAAACAACACTGCAAAGTACAATGTGGCTTTAAAGCCATTACAAAGGTATTTTTCATAATGGATTTTGTTACTGCCTGATCCTTCAAGCTGTTCTGTTGTGTAAAACAAGGACTGCGAGATTAGGTATTGAATTAATAGCGATGTGGAGCAAAAGTTACATTGCGTTACTTGGAATTCACTGATTTTTAAATTTTTTTAAGATAAATTTTTAAATTATTAAATTAAAGCTCTCTCTCATTATTACATTATTACTTTGAATCCTACTAATAAGAATTACAGTCTTGTAATCTTTATAACTACTCGGCTACAGGGCTCTAACATTCCCCAGCTTTCCAAAATACAATCATCTTTCCATAGACCTCATATGAACAACTTTTCATATCCAGCACATTGAAGGTATTCCTGCTACTGTTTTTGTGCGTGTGAGTGTGTATGTTTTACTACTTTAGCCATAAATGATAATTGTATTTTGCTGCAAACTAATAGGGTCACTGTTCCGTTATCAGAGCCCATTAAAGGACATTTTTAATGGAGGAAAAAAATAATCTAATGGACACAAGGATTTACATTTAATTCAATGTTTGCATTTGTAAATTTAGGAAAAAAAATGCTGATGCATTAAGGTTAAATGCTTTGTTTTGTGTACTTGATAATAAATTGTAAGATTCCAGTTGTTTTAAGGTTAGTATAGAAGTTCAATACTGGTTTGTCCCGAAAGCAGCCTGATGGTGTTTTAATATGTTGCTGACTTTGTTACAGATAATGTCTACAATCAAAATGTGGTAGTTTCACTTGACCAACTCTTAGAATATTAAGAAATCAGTGTATTCAATGGCATTCTGTATTTCTGTTCAGTATTTCAGAGTGGTTTTATTTCAAAACAGTCACTCTATTCTTGTGTGAATTTAAATGCTATTCCAATGTTAATCTTAACATTCTGAAATCACACACAATATAAAGCAAATGTAGTGCTGTATTTACTTTTAATTTCATATTCCTGGTCAAAATTACTCAATTTCTTGGATGTAATTTATTACAAAAGTTTATGTGTACATGTGAATAGACTGTTGTGTTTTTCACAATTAAGAAATGTTATGTGAAAATAAATATTTATCCTAACTAATTTTCAATTTTATTTTTACACTGTAAACCCCAGAACAAGTATACAATATGGTACAGTATTTTTAGATGTCTACCTGACACTTAATTATGCTTCACACCCAGTGAAGCTCAGTCCTGCTCCATTTCCAAGTGGAATGTCATTGACAGGTGCCACGCTGGCAGTGCTGGCTTGCTGCGTGTAGTTGATGGCGGTGTACTTGGTCTGACTCTTAAGAATAAGTAAGCACGTCATCAGGGATGGCACATAACTGACCTGCTCCAGGAAGGGAATGGGGATTAAATTCCGATTTACTAGTTAGTTACAAGTTGGTTCCCCATGCTCCTGCAAGAGATGATGTGCACCAGGCAGCAGCAGTTGGGTCTTTTTTACAGATCAATAGGTAAGGTCATACAATTTATAATCCCTCAATGCTACAATAGTTGAAGTGTCTAATAGTTGAACAGCAGCTTAGACTACTGCCTATTGTGGGAGCTTCGCTAGTCTCAGGGCCCTAAATTTCTGCTACTGAAAAACTTTTAGGCCTTAAAGGCTGGTACTACTGCCAAACTCCAATACTTGTATTGACTCCATCTTATTAAATCCCTTTGAGCTGCTTCACTGATTTTTAAAATAAAAGCAATAAAACTATTTTTTTGTTTTAAAAGTTGCATCATGCTCTATTAGCAGCATATCTTAGAAGTTGCTTTCCAGACAAAGAAATACAAGATAATTAGCATTGTACTTTGTTATGCCTCACAGATAAGACAGTTAAGACAATGCATTGAGTGTATAGAACAGTTTCCCAGTGAGAGGTCAAAGAACTGCATCTTTACTTCATGTAAGACTTACCCAGACCACAGAATGTTAGATTTTTTTTAAAAGTGTTGGGGTTTTTTTTTTTTAATGCATTAGTGTAATCACAGAACTGCATTATTTACATTAACTAGGCTCTCATATTTATTAGGTTTTGGATTATAGAAATACCTTTTTTTGTCTATATGCCATTCCCATTGTTTGCCCCTTGCACACACAAGCCATCCAGTCGTTCATAACGACCATCTTTTTATAGCCTATCTGCATTGCTGTGACCTGCCTTTATACTTCACTCAAAAGAATCCAAGCTGTGGATACGATATCCTCTTGGAGACAACTGACAGTCTGCATCCTATAGCACTTTAACAGTGGTGCCAGTCAACATTAGAACCACTAAAAAAAAAAATCGAGCCCAAGATTATATCTGTTCCCCTAAAAATTTATTTTGTAAGTCAAGGAGGTTTTGGTTTGTTTGTGAAACCAAAACCTTACTTTCTACCTCAGGCCCCATCTCATTCAAGGCCAAGCTGCGCAAACTGTCTTGACATTCTCCCCCATCTCCTCCTGCTTTATCTGTCTGTGTGAGTACTTTTACATTCAGACCTAATGTCACTAATAACCCACAATACATAATCACATGCTGGCATCTAATATCAAGAAGCTGTTAGATAATCATGTCATGCTCTATTACATGATACCATTAAACAAAAGCAGAAACTTCACTGTAAGTCTCTCAATGGGTTTTGTAAAATGCTAAGAGTTTGTTTCTTGAGCAACATTTTCAATGATATGAACTACACCTTTCATACCAATGTCTTTATTATTTTAAAGCAGCACAGTTTGTAGTAGAAGAAGTGAGTCCCATCTTTTCTATCTATGTAAAATTAAGAAAACAGCTGGAAAAGCCTGCCTGGAGTGCTGAAGATAAAGCAGAAGTTTACTGGTAGGCTGCAAGGAAAAGCAGATTTGCTAAATAGCCTGTTCACATGAGAGTTACAGTCCAGCCTTTGCCTTAGGTGACCGCTGGTTTGCATTGTAATGTTTTTATGTTTGAGAGCAAGGAATAGAGCCTATTCATCAGTAAATAGGAAACATTAAAAAAAAATATATAATTGTTCTCTAGAGAAACAATGGTGGGCTGCTAGAGGTCCCAGGTAAGGTTTTACCAGTGCAGATCCCCACAGTAGCAACTTTTTTTTTTTTTTTGACTATAAGCAAAAATCACAGTACTATGATAGGAAACAAATTCAGTGCCATCATTCAAATTCTTTGGTGAAAGCTGGTTACATGCTTTCCTTGCAAGACTTCTACAATTGTAATCTGAGAGACTGCAGAGAAAAAAAACACTAACTCAAGGAACTGCAGTAAAAGTGTTTCATGCTCACAGAAAACATTAACATTGCAGTATTCCTGATTGATAGTGCTTCTGATCTAATAATTATCAAGCATTAGGTAATTTCTGCAAAATCTGTTTAAAGTTTTATCAGTATTTTCACAGAAATAATCACAGGGTTCAATTTTTTTTTTTTGTTGGAAATAATATTATTATTTTTATTCCTCAACTGATCTCCATGTTGATTCCTCTGTGACATTGTCATCATTTATTATTACCCTAGCATAGAAACAGAACTGTGTTTCTTTTAGAGTAAACTATCAAAGGTACTGATTCAAGCAAGTACTGTGTTTTCTGGAAGTCTGCAACATACCTACATTCTGGTGATGTTAAGATGTGATTAAACACAATCAATACAGATGCAATAGTTGCTTGGCAACAGAAATAATTTTAAAGCTTAGCATTTCATTGTGCACACAGGTATCCCATGAGCTCATCCTTAGCTCATCTTGATTCGTAAGTGTTTATACTGGCTCAGTGTACATTACTAGAGCTCTCTGAAGCAATACCATCACTAAAACCCCAACGGCCGGTGCTAGGGCAGTGAGAAACACTGCTTTATGAAATAGCTCATATGGGTATAAATATGCTTATGTGCTTGACCAGTGATGGCATGGTCTTTGTCGGTATACCACTGTGGGAAAGAAAAATAAAAAGAATGTTAGTTCTAGCTACCTCTAAGTGCTGTAAATCAAACATGATCGACATCATAAAAACATGTGCAGACGTTTAACATTATCCCAGCATGAGGCTATTTCAGCATGGAGGCAAAGACATGATGGAGGTACGAAGATGCTATCATACTTCTGTCCCTCCTTTGTGTGTGGGATACACCAGCTATTCATGCTAAAAGTACAAAATGAACAGAGGGTAGTGCAGGTCCTCAGTTTAGAGTGGTGCCCGATCTCTGCGCCCTGTGAGCCCTGCAGGTTTGGCTGAAGGACAGCTCTGCACTGGTGTACTTGGCTTCCTGCTATACTCCATCCTGTTCAGCACTGCTCCCTGCGGGCTGGGAGAAGGCAGGAAAGGAAGAGCTTGCACCTCAGTCTGAGAGTTTCCATGTACAGCATCAGAAGGGCCAAATAACTACTTGTCTTACAAGGTCAATAAAGACCAAATCTCAGACTTAGCTGAAGTTAACCTTTCCTTATATCCTATCTGTAAGGTACTAGACATTGGACTTCTTTGAGTATATGCAAAGATGGGGATGGTGTGAGAACACAAAAAAATTAACAAAATGAAAGAGTAGGTAAACAGGGTCAAATACAAGGCGGAGTTGCTTTACATTTTTTCTTGTACAGAAGATACATGGGTGCATTATGTTAACATTTCAGTTACTGAAGATGAAATGCAAGTATGGGAGCTTTCATTTAAAATGCCAATTGATTTATACCTAACAAAAGGGAGGGTTTGCTATTATTCCCATAATACAAACCCATTTGTATGATGATAAAAAAAAATACAAAAAAACCATACCATTGCCTGAAAATCCACTTCAGCATCAACAAGAGCTTTGGAAATCTGCGCTGCTTGCTGAAAGTGAACATTATCTGAAAAGTGGAAGATAAAGGAAAAAGGTAAGCAAAAAATTGCTTCTGTACTACAAGGAACACGACTCCCCAGCACTGCTGACTGAAACACAAATTAGTTGCAGAAAGCAGTATTATTTTATTGACGTAAATGTAACAGCCTTGCCCCTTCATGCTTTTGTTTTGTCAGTAGTAGAATTGCGAACCTGTCTGTAATACTAAAATGTCTAATTAACTGCAACTCACCATCTGCTGTTCCATGAATAAGGAGATACTCAACGTCCTTGAATTTTTCAGCTCTGGCCATTACTGTTGAACTCTAAAATTAAAAAAAAAAAAGGGGGGGGGAGAAAAAAAGGTGCTATTTATTAGAAGATGATTTGCTACCAACTGACTGTGATTCCTGTTGACACAGTCTGGGGTCCTTCAGATACAAACAGCCACCCCTGCTCCCCCCCACACCCCAAGCAGCATGTTCACGCATCCAACAGTGCTCTGCTCACACGCAAACCATTCTGCAGCAGTCTGCAGTCATTACCAAGGGTTACATCTGCAGAGTAACAGGCAATTCCAGAGGGGAAGAGTTGTGCAAGTGAGACACACATTTAATGCATCGATAACATGTTGTTAGCCTGCAGCACACCACTTGCCATAGGTTTCCTGTGCGACTGCAGGCAAGTTAAAAAATGTTGCCATGGCAACAGCGCATCCTATGATGGCGAGGAGTAGATATTGCAGAGACTACGTGCCTTATCTTCCCCACCAAAACCTACACCAGTTTACCTATGGGTAAGTCGATGGGGTTTATATTTCATCAATCTCAGGTAAAAATGGCTGACAAGTTTAAAACAATGCTCTCCCCAAAATGTGATGGAGAAATGCCTGAAGGGAAAAATGCACTAGACCAAATCTATAAATAGGAGTCAAGCTACATTTTGGGAACTGACACACAATACGGTGATGAAAAAAATAATGGCTAACTAAGATTGAGAAACTTAAAAACACAGTAACAACATATTCCCTGGAATGTACTAACCACGGGACTTGCTACTGTGACTAGGTACTAAAAATGAGGAAAGTAAGGACTGCAGGTAAGATCTTTAATTTGGGCAAGCAAAGGGAACAGGATAGTGCTCCGCCATGAGAGAGGGAAGAAGAAAAGCGACAAGATAAAACATTTTAGGCTTGGTAAGACAACCAGCATAATGCGGCAAAAATAACTTGAATTAAATTTCTTCCTATTAGCAACATTATAGAGGTTCTCTGCTGAAAATTACTTCCCTGTGGAAGTTTTCTCTGTATTACAGCAACTTTAAAGCTACTACAGCAAGGAAAAAAAATATTAAAATAGGAACAAAAGACTATGGGTTTGTTTCTTTTTTCCTTTTTTAATTCCCCACCTTGTACTAAGGCTGTATCCCACACAGGGTTTGCATTTAGTACTCCCAGAAAGTCAAATAAATTCTATTACCAACACACAGCAGTGTTCTAATTTCCTTATGTCTCTTGTACACTCATGAATCTTTAAAGCAAGCATAAACATTAAATTCCTTTTGTCATGGCAGAATAGCGTACCACAACCCTCTCATAAGTGTAGTTAACCAAATTTAAAAAGTTCAGCAGAGAGAAAAACCCACCCTCCAATCTGTAACACTGCCATTGCCCTCCTTTGATAGCGAAAGGCTGCAGAGCACCAGAAACCCCATCTAATACATGGCAATCCATGCACACCAGAAGCATGACGCAATCCATTGAAATGACTTGGTATCATGGGGTAAGAATAGATAGTTTTGAGCGTGCCAAAATCTGGAGGGGACTTTGATTCAGTGAGGAGCACTGGTACAGCAGCTGCCCAAAAGAACGATTGAGAAAGTAATGGCCCAGTGATAGGAACAAAAAAAGAACAAAAGACAAAACCAAACCAAACCAAACCCAAAAGGAACCAGCAATATCCTTCTATTGCATCATGTTCCACATGCACAGAGGGAAACTTGATAGATGGCCTTTATAAGCTGCCTTCTAGCAAACCAGTGCTGGTTTAAGAGACAGCAGACCTGCTGCCAAGTGGAAGCCTGACTTAAGCTACGCTTCTGAGAACTCGAATTTCCAAAAGCACTTTTGGAAAAAGGATGCCACTATTTTTCCTCTCCAAGCATTAAACAAAATAAAGCTATGTGTAAAACACTTCAGAAAGAAGGAACACACAAAAGAGAGACTTTCTCAGTTTTTTTATCACTTGCAAGTGATGTCTCACTTGCTGTACCCATACTCAACATGAAGAGTCCCTTCCCTAAAACGTGCTTTAAGGACACAGTACTTCTGCCAAAAAAGAAGGTTGCAAGATAGGGGACAATCTCAAGTTAGGCACAGTTACAGCACAAAGCAACAGCTACAGTAGCTGAACAAACCTCAAGTGGACAGCAAGTAAATACAATGTAGTTTACCCATTCCGTTGCATAGTTATACGTCCGGGACAAAGGTTCTAAGAGGTAACGTGTACAAGTACTGAGAATTGGGCCCTACTGAGTGTAACTGGCTTTTCTAAAGGTCACACAGCAGTCAACATTTTATCAGCACTCCACAAACAAGTTAAGGTTTGGCTGCAACTGAAGGTCTCTCTCCCTTTAGCATATTCTCAGATAATAGAACAAATGTCAAATCAGTGCAAGATGGCATATTTACAAAATTGTACCCTGTTTTGCATAACCTAATGATGCAGCAGTTCTTAAGGACTGAACATTTCAAATCTGCTAGAAAAAGATTGCCAAATCTATGACTGTTTCAAACACTTGCCAAAAGCATATCAAATTCAGAGTGAACTGCAAAATAATCTTCTCACAAGTTGAACAGTCTCTTTGGTATGCTTTACATGGCTATTGCATCTGACCTCTAGAGCTCTGCCCTGATTTAGTCTCAGGTCTTTTACATCAGGGACATTTCTTCCCCAGGCAGACTTCTCTGCCATTCAGCCTAGGATCCCTGCACAAATCATTATATTGGGAGCTCCACCCATGCTTGCTCCTTTCTTTCACAAAGCTCTAATTTTTAATAGTTCACAACTGCCTTAAAGGCACTGATCACACCTAATTAGCCTACTTAGAGGAGAGTGCGAGTCATCCCTCAGACTTGCCTCTTGACAAAGAGTATTTAACATCTCAGATTCTCTTTCTTCAGTAAATGTGGGACCTAATGTCACAGTAATGCAAAGGTAGGCTGTACCCCTCTTACCACAACTGGTTTCTTGAGACTATATATTCGCAGTCATTAATGATAACACATTAGGAAGGCACCAAGCAGCACACATCTTCTCTACACAGGTGTGTGTGTATAAATCAGGGCACACAGTACAGAGTTTATGCAACTTTTCCCTTTCAAAGCCAGCTTTATAGCAGATGCAGCAGGGTAGAGAATATATGATGCAGTGTGCAAACCTGATGAAGTTAACAGTTCAAAAATGCTTTAACAGCTTCAGCTAGGAGAGCTTTCAGTGCATTTACTTGCTAAAAAACATTCAGTTCAGAGATCAGCTCTCACCAGCGACACGGGGCCAGGAGGCTGGCTATTTGGACTGGGACACTGAACAAAAGGGCTGTAAGCCAGGAACATGCTGGGCGGGAGTCAGTATGGGTCTTCAGCAACAACTAAATCCCACAACCCTTCCACTGATGCTACACAAAAAGCAACAAACTCACTTCTTGAGCTTCCCCTCCCCGGTTTATGTGGAAAAGTAAATTCCAAGCAAGACATTATTTGGGGCTTTTAACAACAAACGAGGACTGAAGTTGCATTTTCCTATCTCTAGAAGCAGCAATGAAGTGTGACAATCTGATCTGTGCAATTACCCCTCCTCCATCTAGCCACCATTCTCCCCAATTAGTCCTCTGAGTAACACATTTGAAACCTTTAGCTCTTTGGTACTGGCAGTTTCAACGTGGCTATTGCCAGCAATGGATACGATGCCAAGAAAATCCGACTCCTGGCTTGAAAGGATTAAACAGTCCTCTGTTGCCATCTGTGCCGCGAAGCTGGTGAATGACTTTGTGCACCCAGAGCGTTAACGTTCGTTCTGCACGACGACAGTAACTTGTATTTACACTGCTACCTCGCAGACCTCCTACTGTTCCCACTGCCTTAAAGAAACACACTTGGAAGGCAGCAGGCAGGCGGCTGGTCAGTCCCTGGTGGGCCCAAGCAGCTCACTGGTTAGAAGAGACAGACGTGGTACCAAGTCTTCCAGCACTCACTGCCATTGTTCTGACTTTTGACCAGAACATCTGATACAGCAGTTGACAAAACTAGATTACTGTAGTGATATGTCAAAACAGATGTTTCAGTCCATATATGTATGTATTTGTATGTTTTACCATACTTTTAAATCAAGGCAACAATCCTCACCTTTTTTTTTCCCCCCACGACACTTATTTTTTTAGTGCGCCAAGCCACAAGCGGTGCTAAACTGTCTTCTCTCTAGCCTGTTTACCAATCTGAGAACGCCCCATCTCTTCTCCTCCAACATCCACATTTGCTTGCTAGTTCCTAAAGCAACAAAGTTCACCCAATACCCATTTTTTTTAAAAATTACATTTCAGAAAGAACTGGAGTACATTTGTTTTGGTGGAAATGTTGTTTTAGATAAAGCATAGTTTGCCCATAAGCATATTAAATTTTAAAATAAATTTGTTTCTTAGTGATTAAAACAGTTTTTACAGCTTGTTTCACAGTCTGCAAAGTAGCCAAATGGAACTGAACGTAAACCCCCCCCCCAAAACCCAACACACCAAACAAACAACAGAAAACCCACACCATACAGCAAGGACTAACCGCCTGATGCAAATCCAAGCACAAGACCACAGCCTCTAAAAGCACAATGCAACAGTTACAGCTGGAAAGAAGAAACAAACTTATTTCTTCCCATGGGGAAAGAACAAGACTGTATAAAGAAAGATAGAGTGGTTTGGAAAAGAAACACCACAGTTCAAAAATATTAAATAAAGTTATTTCTTTCTTACATTATAGTTTTTCAGATTATCACTTTCTATAGGAAGGCCCATGTATCGCTCCGTGTATATTGAATCTGTAATTAAAAAAAAACCAAACCAGAATGTTACTTAATTTTCAGTCTGTCTGTCTACCAGAAACTTTACCCTCTGATACAAACAATAACAACATATACTAGAAATTAAAAAAAAAGATAAGAACAGGTTTTCCACAAGTTTTCCACAATGAGGCATGTAGGTAACCATCATTATTCAGAATATTTAATCTTGTTGCCATGGACACCTGAATGCTGAATATTAATAAAGTACTTTGTGTCAATGTTACCTTATTGTTATTCTCTCAGTAATCCTAAGAAAATTACTGAAAATCTTGCAGTAAATGACTAGCATTTGAAAAAAATCTTAGGTATTTTATCTAAATCTTTATTACTAAAAGGCTATAAAATGAAAACATAGCAGTAGATTAGGACTCAGCTTGGCTTTATGTTATATACAGTCACAATTAAGTATCTCTGATTTTCCACAGATTTTTCAGCATGGTATCATACTACTTTTTTTGCAGATTTGCTGTTTTATTTTAAGCCATACAAATCAATGCTCTGTTGCCATATTCTAATGCCCATTTGACTTTTCATCAGCTTTGTCACTTCTTTTTTTTATGTTGTATATGCATGCCTCCATAATCCTTTATCTAATCAACTAAAAGTAGAATTTTAGACATCCTGATCATCATTAAAAAAAAAAATATTTCCTGCCATACTGTAATATTCATGTCCTAACATCATGAAAACATCCCTATGTCCTCAACAGACTACTGCTAATACCTGGCAGTAGCCAGAGCACATAATACGCTATTATATAGCCTCTGTGCTGGGTGCAGAATGATAAATTACACCTTACTTAAGCAGAGGTTTGCCAGGAAAGACTTTCCTTTGAATGTTTTTGGACAAATACAAACCAGAAAAATGTCACAATATGGTCACATTGTAGCAGCACATATTATATTTTTAACTATTGATAAATTTTTTAATCTGGGAGGAGGCTCTCTATAACTGTATGTATAGCCTCATACAACTACAACCTTACACACTACTAGCTTGAAGCATGTACAGACTTGTCCACTTGTTCAGGTTTTCCTCACATCAAGCTATTCTTAAGACTAATTAGATTTATAAAATACAAATTTTACACTCTAAAAGGAAAAAAACCGTGAAGGCAATTCAAATCCTATTCTGTTACTTTGAGAGAGCAAATTACAACCCAAGTTTGATGTTTAAGCCTCACAGTTTGTTCTTACGAGTGAAGCAGCAATTTGAAGAAGCAAAGTCTAAAAGCGATGCCTTTCTGACACACAATACTGGTCTCGGAACATGTGGCAGCTTTGGAAAGCAAACACAGACACATTACAGTAATACTACAAATATTACAATAATTTAGCCTTCATTACATGTTAAAGAGATTACCTGGAATTGTGAATCTGACTTTTTTAAAATGGGAAATACGATTTAGGGAATTGGTTTCATTCTGAAATGCAATACCCACGAGTTCATAAAAACAGACCAAGTGGCATTTACATGGCATCTAGTAGATAATCAAAGTTCTGCACTATGAATCAACACTTTGCAGCATGTGCACTGCAAGACATATGGGAATCCTTGTAAGGAGGAAGCCATCACATACCATAATATTGCCAACGTGACACGGGGGCAACCGCTATTCCACACTTGAACACGCCGCTTCCAGAGCCAAGCACCATGGAGGTCACATATCCCCCGTAAGACTGAGAAGAAAACATTGCTGTTATTTTAGTCGGGAAGAAAAGGATGGGGCCCATCTGCTAAACGGTTCATCAGACATTTATAGGCTCAGCGTTTTTCATATTAATGAACTCCACTCTGAATTTGGGTCAGATCTCACCCAGCCTGCTCAGTGGGGGAAACAGGCATCAAACAGCGCATGGCGGCTGCGGCGCTGATGAATGAGAACTTGCTGGGGAAAAGGGGCGCAAACGCTGCTGAACTGTGACTCAGCCAGGGATGACAGTGTTTGGCAGCGCTGTAGGCAGCAGTGAAAGACAGGAAACAAGACACTGCTGAGCCGCTGCGTCCCTCTCCGTGCTGGGGGAGTGGGTGGAAGCAGAGCTCGGGCCCACAATGCGCCTGATGAGTAGTTGCACCAGGGCATCCAAAAATTTACAACTCCCTCAGAGCAGGCCTACGGCAGCTCACTTGCTAACTCTCCTCCAAAGCGTCAAGAGCAAGACTGTCACTGGGGAGTGAAGGATCTTCTGCTGAGTCTGTGGGAGGAACTGTGCAGCAACACACTCCTTGCTATCCACAGAAAACTCACTCGCAGGCTAGCCTGATACACAGATGAGTAAATATCTGACACACTTGAGCATCCAGGCAGCAAGATACCTAAACAATGTCACTGACTGCCCAAGTGACTGCCCTCACTATAGTTTGAAGGGGTCATGTAGGAAAATGTGCCCACCCACATTCAAAAAGAAGAGCAATTTTTGGATCTCGTTCCCGTCTCGAAACCAGATTACAGGCAAATGGAACTGTATCTTAGTTCAAAGTAAATGTTTGCTCCAACTTTAATACTTAGGTCCTCCCGATGAGATCAGCAAAGTAATGCATGTATTTAGTAATTAAACCCATGTATAAGTACGTTGCCTAACCTGGCCACAGCAAAGATATTACTGCCAAACCTACGGTAAACAAAATTAATGTACATAGCGATGGGCTGACAGCGAGACACTGACAATCTGAAAACTCAAGAGATAAAGAAAATCTGTTTGCCCATAGGTTCAGTATTCAGGATGCATAACCCAACCTAGCTCCAAAGAGGATTGCTCTTCAACTATTCATCCCGAGGCTCATAAGGTGTAAGATGGGAATGCATTAAGTTCTCCTTTTTTGTAGAAAGGATTTCCCTCCCACCGAAGTTAACACTACTACGCTTGACTGCATACAACACAGAGATGATTATCCCCACAAGAAAAGCTACTAAAGGCACCATCATCATCATCATCTTGCCATCAAGCAATTTATTCACTGGTGTCCGTCAGCTAGCAATTTAATTCAAGATCCTGCACGCAATCCTGTGTACACTAAACACAGTATGCTTAAACAGAGCATGCAAAATACTCCCGTGACACCAGAAAAAGCAGTGAAACACCAGCCTGGGACAGAGAAATGTTCAGAGTTTGAATCAAACATCACTAACACTACATACACACTTAGCCTTACAGCTGAGAGGGTATGTATATGCTATTAAATACTCCCCTCTACTGTGACAGGTTTTAAAACACACATCAAAAGTCAGAGAAATCTGCCCTCTGGTTGGCGGAAATAAAATACAGCCAAGCACAACAATATAGCAGATTTACATATTTTCAAGCTTCGAGTAAAAACACAACCATGCCACGCAGCTGGTTCACATGTAATTTTACATCTTTTTTTAAAAATTAGAGTCATCGAACTAATACAAAGACACACTAGTGAATATATACTTGGATTTTTTTTTTTAAATATTGGTTCATCTTGTACACAGGAACTTGGCAGTATCCCTTTAAATTGTTTTTAATCCCTCTAGTAGCCCTAATTTCCATTTCAAAGGCTCCTGAATGCTTGCAAAGGGACAATGTATACAGACACTTGTAAGACGTACTTCATCAGTTCAGTTATTGGACTAAGACATGACCACAGAGGTGTCTCACACAAAGTACTCCAGCACACACAGCAGCACAACAAATAGTTGTTACAATTAAATAATAAGCCACCAAACTTATCTGAGTACTTACCCAACCCCAAATAGCTATTCTGTCCTTATCAACAAAGCTCATTTCAGAAAATTTTCTGGAAGCAAACAGAAAAATTAAATGCTTAATGGATTGCAGGTATCTTCCATTATACAGACCTGCCTATTTTCCACCATGTCTGCCTCTTTCTATTGTACAAATAAGCATTTCTCACTTCACCACAGTGACTGCTTATGAAAACATACAATACTTTAGGCATGTGTGTATTTAAGAAATTCAGAAAAACATCTGTGCACGTGAAAATACAAAACCTGGACGCTCTGTAAAAGCCCTCGAACCGCACTCACTGACATTTGTATTGTATTAGGTTAGATTTCACCACCTGACCTGCCATTTTCTTTTTTTTTTTTTCTCTTTTTTCCCCTCTCTCACTCTTTTTTTTTTTTTTTTTTAAGAGAAGCAACACTCAAATTGCAGCAGTAAGGGACAGGCCAACACCTGCAAATCCAGTCAAGGTTTTAAAAAAATAAAAAAAATAATTCCAAAATGTTATTTGTTTAAACTGTTTAACAGTTTAAAATCCCAAAAAACAAGCCCCATAAGATCACTTCTTTGTGATTCTGAGAGATTCACACTGACATTGTTCGGTATAGCGAGGTTCTACAAGCATAAATCAACCGACAAAGATGAACTATCACGTAGAGGCTGAGTAGTTCATATAAGTAATTTTGTCACAACAGAAACTTGCAAAAAAGCTTGGAGTAGAACTTCCAGCTCCAAGTTCCTTGGTAGCATGCTCTTCTACTAATGTGACAGCTATCATCTCTATGAAACCAGGGATATGGTAAATTTGTTAGTATAGCATTAACTCATCTCTCTTTTTAAGCATAAAATGATGGCTGGCCCATAAATGACACACTTCAGCATACAAAATCAATGTAGAATTCAGTTATGTTTTTGCCAGTGATTTCAAGATGACCATTCAAAACCTTCACCTTTTTTTCCCCCTACACAATAAGCACAGACAAGAGGAGCAGGTGTTGACCATTTCACTGTAGCTCACCTGGCTACTGTTATCTGATCTTCCACTTCATATGTTCCCAGCCTTCGGTTTATTGCATGCATAATTTCATCCCCTTGGTATCCACTTCCTCTGCCATCGAAGCTGGCCACAATGATCTGCTCGGTGCTTGCCAGGTAAGTAGCCCAGCTGATCCGGAAGGCATAATCTACTTTCTGACTGCAGGGTCCTGCATAACTGGGTGAAAAGTGCCACAGAATTCAGGCATTTAGTTTCCACGTATTCTTGCATCAAGCATTTGAAATACAATTATTGCTGACAATTTTCCACCGCTAAAGAAGGCTAAACTTTTAAATTAAACTGAGCAAACAAGAACAGCATCACCAACCGACTCCAAACTGCTGCTTTCCCTGGACACTAAAAGCAATATGCTTTTTTAAAACATCAGCTGTTAATCAAGAAAGCAGACTAGGCTTTATTTGTTTTATTGCTTTCGGCTCTAATAAAATATTTCATCATTTTGACTTTAAGTGGCTTATCAGAAATCCAAACCAAATTCTTTTTTGTGTTGGCATATCTAGTCATCTGAGTTTCAAAGCGATGCACTTTAACTATTTCTGTTGCATTTACCCACGATTTATTTGGTTAAAGTCCAAAATCAACAAATAGCCTTCATTTGGGATAATGAAAGAGATCTTTTTCTGCACTTCTAGTGTCTCATCAGAGTTCCCTACAGTCTAAACTATTTCTTATGCAGGCTGAGAAAAAGGAAGCAAAACTGTAATTATAAATTTTATTTTTAAAATATTTGGAAGCACTTGAGTGCTATGAAATCACACTCCGAGTGCCCGGATGGCAAAATTCTGTTTGCAGTGCACTTTAGCCACTGTTCAACTGAGTAAGAAATGGAAGAATGGCTCTTATAACTCTATAACCCATTTTTCATAGTTTTAAAAGCAAAGAAAAAACTACTAGGAATTCTCTATGTCAAGCTTTGTTTCTATATGCTATGGATCCTGACACTTCCAAAGGAATTTCTGGTATCAAGATCACCATGAAGCAGAGGTGATCCTGACAGAAGCCCAGGTAAGTCAATAAAAATAGAATCAAAACCAAAATAAGTCTTAAGAAATAAAAAGCACTGACCGCTCATTAAAGCGGTCAATAGGTATACCAAGGTCAGTTCAATAGTCATATCAAAAAGTATTACAGTGCTACCAAATTACATTACATAAATATGTATCTAACAATTAAAGCCAGTTTCCTTATGGAGTCAGCTTTTTGTAAAAAGAGAAAAAGGTTAACATTTCCAGTTAGAAGAAAACATACCATGAACAGAAGAGCCTGAAGAAGAATGGACCAAACAGCACATGCTCATGGTCTTGAATTTATGAAAAAACAGCAAATGCAATCCTGACCACAGGGTGCAGTTTGCCAACACCAGTTGACAGTCAAGTATCATAGAGAAAATGCAACATCACGCTTACTACTTCAGCTTTAGGATACACAGCTTATTCAAGGTTTCATTCTGGAATGTAATTTCATTGACTATTATTCCTAATGAACTCTAAAAGCAGAGAATGAGGTAAGCTAACACTAACATCCTGGCTTTTAAGTCAGATACAAAATGTATCTGCCTCACTGCCACCAGAAAAATACGTGCTTGTTAACCATTACATCATCTTATGGTACAGAAATCTATCACGAATTGGGATACACCTCCTTCTTTTCATTCACTCTTAAAATTACTTCAAGAAGTAATTAGAAAACATGCCAGTTTTGTGTTTCCCAATCTTATTAAGAGCATTTGAAGTAGATGAAAGTGATTATTGCCATGTAACTTGAAGACTTACACATCAAGGAGCACAGGGTACTTCTTTGATGAATCGAAATGGGGAGGCAGTATCATTTGATACCACAAGTCTAAAAGTGAAAACAGTTTGACTTAGGTCAGTTCTCCAGTGAAATAATTTGACATGCATTGCAATTCATACAAGAGCACCTTTGAGTCACACCCTAAAAATTAAAAAGTAGTTTCATCTGAACTGTCCTAATATATACACATAAAAGTTCCTAGCTAATCTAATTTTTTTTTTTTTAAATTAAATACTTTACAGCTAAGTTAGCAGAAAGTTTGGAACTCGAATGCTTATAATAATAATAAAATTTGGGGGCTCAACATGCTGTCTTGTAACATTATTCTACATTATAAGCTTACATGTAAAACTTGGTAAGTCACTACAGTGGTAAATCTGACACCAGCTCAAAAATGTTTCTCTACTCACATTTCTATCCCAGAACTAAAAAGAAATTTTAAATATTTTGAACCTGCCAGATAGGCTTTGCATGACAGTTTGTAAAGCATTCCAGAAACATATCCAAATATCTATTATTTCTCAAGCAACATTGATTCTGGTTCCATCCATGTTACTCTTTCCACCCAACTTGGCTAAAAGGTAGCTGAACACTTCAAACACACACCATGTAAGTTTTGCAAACCAATTGGCTCGATTTTTCACTCATGAATTTTAAAAGAACTGATGCTGCAAAGGAAGCATGAATCAATACTGATGGACTGCACTAGCCAGAGTGCAAGTCTTACAGAAATTCGTCCAGGTATGAATATGCAAGACATTAAACTACTGAAAAAATTAACAATCTAAATTGAACATGTGACAATACTAATTTTTATTGTTTTTATTGCATCATCTGCATAGTCTATAGTCACGGGAACAGATTTCTTCTTTGGTAGCATAACAGTTTTGCGAGCAGACTTGGAACTTGAAGTAGGACTACATAAATGGATTTATTTCTCCTATTTGTGACATTAAAAATAGATTCCCCTTACCCAAAAGCTTTTACACCCTGAAGAGATGAAGAAAGAACAAAGAGGAATAAAAAGATGAATATACAACTGATAGCATGAAGTACATCTTTAAACCTTCATCTTGCCTGGAAGATTTCATCTTTAGCCCTAGTAAAAATCTGACAGAAATAAAAGACAGAAAACACAAAGATAGTTATTATATAAATAAAGTAACAGTGGAAGGAGGGAGGCATCAAAAAGAACAGTTAACAACGACTGACAGAACTCAGTACAGTTTGTAAAATATAATTCCATTAAGCATATTCATTCGTTTTATCAAGAGGAAGTTTGTCATGAAGAGAAAAGCTAGTAGCAAAGGCTGGAGCAAGAATAGTTTAGATAGGTACCAGGCCTCCCACTGCTGGTCTATCTGGTGTTCCTCAGCCTAGAGGCACACCAAGAAAGCTTCTGTACCCAGACGTGCAAATTCAGAGGAGTACCACTAGCAAAGCATTAGCAGTTTGTTTTCTAGCATTTCATTCTAGTCTGTATTCAAAAGTTTATGTATTCTTGGAGTGTGAATATGCTTTTAAGAACGTGACTGTTCAATCCAAATATTCCCCTACACAAAGGCAACGGTGACCTTGTTGAAATGTAGCCTGAATGATTTTGCAAGCTTTTCCATTTAGATTCTGTGTCTCTTTTTTGATAATAACTGAACAACTTCTCCACCATTCCCACCAGCTAACACAAACCAAACGGACTTGTACCTGTAAATTAAGACCTATTTGAACTTATAATTTAATTTAAATTCAACAATGCGTATGAACTTTGTGCCCCACCCCCCATTCCTTTTATTTAGTTAGGGTGTTAGGGACTTCTGTTTTTCAGGCAGTTATCAAGGAAAAAAAGGAGTTAAGCCACTTCATCATGAAAACATGAAGATATCACACTATGGAAAAAGTGTATTTTACATAAGAATATTTTGTGATTTCAAAAAAGAAACAGAATGTTCGGAGATGTCAAAAAAAACCCCAAACAAACTAAGTGCTGAATAACTGCAATAATCCCCCCTACACCCATCTTTTCTGTCATGCTTTTCAGCAAAAGACCTTGAAGCACTTGGTGAAAGGGGGAGAGAAAGGTAAAACATGGTTTTGAACTTACTGTATCCACCTATACTAATGGAGCCAAATTTTTTGGAAGGCATCTGAATATCTTTCAATGAATTTTCCAGTTCAGTGTTATTTTCCAAGTATCTGAGGACTAAATAACAGGGTTAGTAAGAGTCAAAGATTAAATACATTATTTTCAAATGCATTGCTCTTTGATTATGTACTGCTTTAAAAATTCAATCCGAGATGATGGCAATCGACATTGCAGTCTTAGTTTACTGCAGTTTTTGTTCTTCCTCTCAGGTTCAATGTTTATAATATAGTTTTTCTTCAGTAATACAGTAACCAGAAATCTGGTTTCCACATTTTTCATCTAAATGCACTTTCAGAAAAACTGAACAATTATCCAGTAAATTTCACACATTACTCACTGTTTTCTAGCACCATGTGAAATAATATTAAATAAACTATGAATAAACATATGCCAAGCTATATAATTTGTTCTTCTAGTTAACTATACTAGAGTAACTATCTGAAATTACATTTACCCTTTATAATGGACATTTAAATTATTATACTAAGCAATGAGAACAAAACATAAATAAATTTACATTTCAGTTTTTCTATTTGAAGACAATCTCATACCTTGATCATCACTGCTTCTGTGCAGAGTAGATACAGGCAGGCCAGGACCTGTTAACAGAGCATAAAACTTTCATGTCTCCATGCTGTCTCAAAACACTACCCTCGTAAAATAACTGGAAGTGGGTGAATCATACAAGCTCAGAACTCGTTTCCCTCCAGTTTGCGCAACTGGATTTTAAGTTAGTAGGGCCCAAACTCAAGCCACAGGATCCCATAAAATATTCAGACTGTCTCGCAGGCAAACCACATGATTGTGAGGTACAGAAGAATTAAACTTTCCCTTGCTAGCAAAGTCTACCCATTGTTTGTAGACCACGGTTTGGAAATCAGTAAGCCTTGTCACAGGGATGACAGCAGTCTTCTTCAAACAACCATTTTTATAACCTGACAGAACAACTCCCTCTCTGCTGGCTGTCTGTCCTAGCCCATAGATCAAGGAAGATCTTGACATTTTAAAAAACAACACAGATTTCAATTTAAGGGAAATTTTGGAGAAAATTTTATTTTTCCCACCCACTGATTAATTTATCCCTTGTACTATCTAGCACAAGTGCTTACAGGTCAGAGACAGACTACAGTCCCACTCCTTATGATTACGTTCATTGGATTTTTTTTTGAACAGCACTACCTATCTTAATTTTATTCCCACACATAAAGCACTTCTTTTTACCCAGCCTATTGCTCACCTTGCTCCCAGAGCCTCCTAATTCCTTCTACAGACAGAGCTCCCTGTGCAGCTCTTGAGGAGATGCACAGCAGACAGGAGTGTTTTGCACCTCTTTCAGGTCCACGGATAGACAGAACTATCAAATTTTATCCTTCTAATTTTTGTCAAGGTGCTTTTGAGCCTAGGAGGGAGTGTGTTTTTCCGCTGTCAATGTATTTATCCAATGATATCAACACATATCATTGTTACGCAGTGCATATCAAGATCTTGACGAAGTGAACTTCCCCACCCAACTAATCAGTGAGTCATGTTTATGTCAATTAATTCCAGATATACTCACCACGACAATCTAGCTGATAATACTGTGCATCTTTGCTGAAGGACACAGAATAATACTGGCATCTTTCTTGATTCAGATCACAGCTAACACATTTAGTAGAATTTGGACTGCTTTCCAAGAGCACTCTGCAAAGTAGATGAGCTTCATTTCAGATTTGAAAGACTTTTTTTTTTTTTTTAAAGTCTGCTAAACAAACGTATGCTTTTTAAATAAGCTGACCAAATGAAATATGAGAAAATTCAGGAATAAAGTCCTTATTGATTTAAGAAGTAGAAATAGAAGACTTTAAACTTTAGAGTTCAATTAATACTGGAATTATAATCCTAACAAAAAAAAAAAAAGCACAAGGGGTTTTCTTTAAGCGTTTGTTGCTTGAGGATTCGTTGTTTCTTTTCACAATTTCCCTTTATTAACTAACTTTACAGAAAAATATTTAAGTTGTTTTTACAGTTTATACTCCTACATTGATTTTAATTAAATATCCTATATAGGATCCCATAATAGACTATAAACATCTTCATCTTTTTATATTGCAATGTTTTTTCTTAGAATTTCTTTTTCATTAATAAATATTTCACTCATACTGCAGAAAAAAAATTCTTACTTGTAAAGATTTCTTCCTCCTGGCATTCCACCGTTTTCATTACTAATGTAGTATCTACAAAAGCAAAACATAATGGTTTTGGTAACATGATTAGAGTACCTTACAATATTTAAAGGATTATCTTACCTGTTTAGATCAGATTTTTCATGAGTTACATGACACCTTTTCCCTCCCTGCTTGCTTAGACCCTTGTTACAAGCCCTCCTGATAGGAATCAACAGCTTAATTACAATACTTACAGAAATTTATCGGTTACAGCTTCTATGCTGATTACTTCCCATTTTCCTTCAGTAATAGGTACTGGAGCCTGGAGGGGGGAGAAAAGGCAAGGCAAAAAAGTAGAGCATGAAGTTCCTCAGTCGCCAGGAGAAACACAAGTCAGCAGTGACTGTCCTACACCTTAATTACTTACCTGCGAGCCATTTATGTAATGGATGTGCTTGTAACCTACTGCATTGCTGAAGACTTTGTAGTAGGTAGCATTGTCGGGTGCAAAGTGAGGGACAGATGGCTGAAACTTGAATACAGGAGAGAAGAGAGATGTCTATTAAAGCAAACAACAAAACTCCCAAACCAAAATGGTAAGTATTGAAACTTCTGTTTAGAGATATCAAAACCTAAATTTAAAACAACGCATCACCGAATGTACTGCAAAACCTGTAGCCACTACCCTAAAAGTAAACACACTAAAAATACTTTCATGCTCCTTAAGCAGCAGAATTTTCTGAGTATTAGCCCTGGTAAAGACCGATGTCCTCTCCTACCTCCCTTGAATTCGAAGTCTTACAGGTGTCTCAGTTTCCTACCATTTTAGGAAACAATATGTGCATCTACTTTTAAAGTCACTGTTTTATTCTGTCCAATGCCTACATGCAGCTCTACCACATAGCAAAGTAAACATTGCAAATACACATTTTCCTTGAATCTCCCATTTTAAAACATGTATTTGTGGACAAATTCTTTGTCTTTTTTTTTTTTTCTAGCTTAACAGTGAAAAACATCCAGCTTTATTCAAAGAAAACAAGCTGCTTTCCAACAGCAAATTTGTTACTAAGTAGGTGATTACAGAATGCCATAGAACCCAAAATGGAATGATATTTTCATGAGGGAACTATCCATTTATCAACTGGGAGTGATTGAAATGAATGGATTCCTTCTACTGACTGTCTTTTGGATGTGCTCCACACAGTAGAAAGAAAAACAGAGGATGAAATTGAGCTGAATGAAATAAAAGTTATTTCTGTGGTAAATATCCAAAACATCTAAATGTTAATCAGCCAAGTGACACAACGTAATTACCTCTGAGATGTTATACCCATTTTTTAAATGGAAAGTGAAACAGAAAGATGAAGTGACTCACCTCCGGTCACCCAGTAAGTAATGACAGAAATTGAGTCTCCCTAACCTATGTGCTCCAGATAACCTCTCCTTCTTCCCTAGCAGTATTTTTGCAAAAAAATAACCTGGCAAATATTTTGCTAGCTTCTCCCTTATCACAGTCTTGCTTTTTCAAAGTGTGACTTTCCTTCAACTCAACGGCAAGCTCTAACTTAGCTCATGACCTGGAAGCCTCATACAGTAACACAGGCTGTTCTGAGCATTCTTAGATTAAGTATAATTTCATCTCTGTTTTGGTTTTGTGGGTTTTTTCCAAAAATAAACAAACAAAACCCACTATAGGTATATACAAAGAGAGAAGTGTATGTCTATATTTTACACACATGTAATTTACTTAAGTTTGTATATACACACTTATATGAATTGTATATACATATATATATGTATATATACACATCTCATATATATAAATATCCCTTATCGGTCAAGTGTCATTTTATCATCCCTAAGTAGATAAGAATAAAAGAAAGGAATAAATATACATTTCCTATCCCCTCTTTGATCCTCCCTACCTTCCACTCCCTGTCTCAAATCCAAGAATCATACAGTGAGATTATCTTTTTTCTTCCAACAGCTCCTAAGATGTGGGTTGTCTCTTTAAAAGAAACAAAAAACCAACAACCTAGTTTAATGGCACAGACTCGCATTTTGCCCTCTCATTTTGCACAACTGTTTACAAAGTCTGCAGCTTGATCATCACATTGTCTAATTGTGAAGCCTTTGCTGCAGAGAAGCAAAATGTGTCAGCGTTAAGGCCTTCCTTTCCATATCAAATTTGACAGCAGGTGGGTTGATCTCTCATCTTCATACTGCGGATGATTTCATCCCTGCTGTTGCCTCCCTCTTTGCATTTCTTTAAACTTTCATTTTTGACTTCAAAAGTGAATTAGTGACTAAAGCATAATCAGTGTGTGGAAAATGCGGGAGTGGAAAGTGTACTCTGTGTTCTCATCAAAAACTCTGAAACTCATTTCTCCCTCCAAGTCTGAACTTTTGCATCTCTGCTTCACTTCCCCCAGATCTTCTGTGTAGTTCATTAGGTGCCTACTCTCTACCACGTACAAAAGGACTGAAAGGAAGCTTGGAAAGCATCATCCAGACACTAGTGATTGGTTTGGCAGAAGTGTATGAAAATTTTAATCTGGTCAGTTATATGCATTTTGTCCTCAGTTCTCTCCAATGGATATTTTGGGTGGGGGCAAAAAGAAAAATAAACAAACCCCCAAGGAGAACCTGGAATAGTTTGCTGCAACCTGAAATGCTAAAAATTACTTTTGTCTACTACGCCTTTCCTCCAATACAATTCAATGGTTATAGGATACACTTCTTAATACATTTTATCCCCTAGATTATTCTGGAGGTGCAGAAGACTGGAGAGCAGCCAAACCAACATAGCTGACAACTCCCTCAGAACAAAAGGAATTCTGAATTCTGGCTCCTGCACTCCCCTACACACTGCTACCAAAGCTGTAGGTCAGAATGAAAAAGGAGTCTGGAAGCAGCTCTGCTTTTTGGCAAGCTGAACACAATGCACGAGTCACAGAGGACGCAGTTACAGCTCCAGCCCACACTACACTATCAGCCCAGCCCGGGAGTTCAGAACCCCATACCCACAAAAGCTTAAAACCAGGAGTGGGGTGGCATAGCGGTTCCATTTGAGACCATTTTTTCCTTTACATGTAAAATGCAACAAGTGAATGTAACAGACCTGCACACAAGAGGCAATGCAACCAACGAGAGGGTCATACGAAATTTTCTTAATTATCAGTGTTATTTAGCATGTGGCAGTTTTAGAAATTGAACACTCACTCTGCCAATCCAGCCAGTTGTACTTTCTTCCGTACGTTGTTTTTCCTAAGAAAAAAAACCCAAAAAATCCCCCAATTATGTTTATTTTACATTAGTTTATGTTTCTACAAATATAAACATACAGAGATACTCTACTCCTTTCTGGTCTCATTTATCAGGCGTTGCAACTCTCCCACCTCATTTTTCTTACCTGTGGACATGACCAAATTCCAGTAGCATTTTCAAAGTCACAGACTGTAAGGACTGAAAAATTCTGAATTCTTCTGAGCCATTGCAGACAGATCCTTTCATCTGTCACCCACGTTACAACACTCAAATAATGATCCCTGAAAAAAGCAATAGCATTAGATATTTAAAATCCTCTCTGTAATAGCATACTATACAATAGCATTCAGCAATTCACTGAATGAGACTCATCTGGCTATTTTCATTTCAATCTACTCTTCAACAATAAACAATGATGCAAATCTCATTGTGCCATTTTTTTGCCAATTGCTTTTGCTGCTAGTAGATGCCTTGGTTATTTTCATTCATACAATAAAGAATTAAGATAGTTTGTACATACCCGCTTCCAGAAAGACTGCAAGTAAATTCTAACAGCCAGATCACTATCCTCTAATGCATAAACTAATAGCTGCTGCAGACTGTTCATAAATCTTGTACTATGTGCATCTAGAAGAAATTCTTCAGAACATTTAGTTGTATAGGCCTTAGATTGTTGAATTTTATCCTTAACTGCATGAAGTTGATTGCTTGTAAGCACCTTCTGAGTGATATGTATCTTTGTAACTAATGGAAATACTAAATTGAACAATGGAGAGATCACACCAAGAACAGGTATTACTATTTGAACATTTTACTCTCATCTTTGAATACTGACTAGTTGACATGAGGAATTGGAGTGTCTGAAAAAAATTATCATTTTCATGACTATTCCTGTAGATTAATTTTAAAAAGGCACCACATAAAACTTAGTGGTTTTGTTTACCATTATGATCTGTTAGATGTACTCGTCTTTTCTTATTTTAGATCTCTCCGATCTCTTAGAAGCCTTACAAACTAAAATAAAACAAACCTCCCCTCCAAGGCAAGTATACATTTTTAACCAGAATTTGCACATTTGACTTAGTTCCAAGTTCATGTTCCCTTTTTCCCCAAAGTTAGTTAACAAAAACGTGTGGGAAGTTTTGTGACGGGAGTGAATATCTTCATGATCATTTGGGGGGGGGGGGGGCTTGGGGGGCGTGGAGAAAAAAAGAAAAAGAAAACACTACAATTAGTGTGAATGGATTAAAAAGATATGCCAACGCGTTACTGACCACTTTCAGGTTTATTTCTAGATTGCAGTTTAGAAACCATGTTTAAAAAAGGTCTATTTGCACATTTATATTTGACTGGGAAGTTGGTAGGTCATTTAATTGCTACTGTCACTGGCTTCAAACAGTTCTACATTTTAAACCAATAACATTATAAAAGGACTCTGCAGGAGCTTGTTTGGAAAAGAATGAAACTGCCATTCTTCATGTATCTATATGTATAATAGTGGTTTCCCTTGTCTTGTAAAAGGGTAATTAGCCCCACAGGTTTTGGTTCTTCAGAGTGAAGTTACCATATCTGAAAATGATAAATCATCTATCAGACAAGAGGAAAAAACCCTCCAAATTACTATGTATTATGTTGTTGTTATAACATAATAAATATTTTAAGGTTATTATAGAGACTAGAAATGCACCTTCAGTTTTCAACAACCCAGGAAATGTTAACTAAACTGCAATTAACACAAGTATAGAGTACAGTAGTTTTGCATTGCCCTTCCTCATTTGCTGCTGATAAAGGATATTCCTGCAATCACCGTCTGGAGTTCTCTACTCTGAAGATGACTTATTTTTAGGACAGATCATTTCAGATAAGAAGCATCCATTGCCTTCATCATCCTGTTAGCCAACAGGAACACTCTGTACCCTAAAAGTGGTGTTTAAATGCTGTATGGATTTCATGCTGGTCATTTGTACAAAAAGTGTCAGGTTTCATCTACCATCTTACGTGACAAAGCACTGCTGCTCCATATTTTGGCAGCTTTCCTTGACAAATAATAAAACTTTCCCTCTGAAACAGAAGTGCGCTGTGCACCCTTCACATGTTGGGGTACAACTGCTGGGCATACAACAAGCTCTGGATAGTGCTGCAACAGGCAACCATTTGCAGGGGCACTGCCCCTCAAAATCCTCGTCCACCTGGGTGGGGTGAAGTATGCCACCAAGTCAAACTTAAGTTTTACTCAGAATTTACCTCCAAGGAAGTAAAAATAGAATTTTCCACCACAAAAATTAACCTTTCGTGTCATACAGTGGTATAAATATACATACTGTGCAAATATTCATTACTTTGTCCTTTCAGGAGCAAACCTACTTGACAGCAACATTGCACATCACTTGCCTTTTCCTACTTATGTACTTATGCTCTTGCAAAATTCCCCAAGACTTGTTCTGGCCACCTCAATGTTTGCAGAAGACACATGCTGAGGCTTAACCATTATTTGAATCAGCTGTTGGCAGAAAGAGTAAGTTTTGATGCTTGTACTCTTCATTCTTAGAGAGTGTTATGTTCATTTAAAGATGGATTAAGTCCACGTAACTCAGGCCTGTGTTAGCCACATGGGTACAAGGCTGGAAGGTAGATGCTTGTTATTCTCCCCAGGTCACACAGCAGTGTTGTTCAGCCTTCATTAGGTGTTAACAAAAGGTAAAACATAAGTCTAAGACAGTGGAAATCTTAACCAGAACCATTCAAAACATAAGGGCTTGTAATTCTGAAGTACTGAAATTCCGGAGAAAAACCACACACAACAGCTATGTAACACCTAGCTATCGCAGTGTTACTGTAGAGAAAGGATAAAGAACAATATCTTCATAAAAACTTGCATATCTCAGTTAACACAAAGATGTTAGTTACACTGTGGTGAGGACTGAAATGGAATAGCACTGATATTCCAGTTATAGCTTTTTGGCCACCACGTACAAAATGCTGGTTTTACGCACTAGCTAACAGACCTCTCTCATTTTTTTCTGAAGTTTATCAGTATAACCTGTGCTTCCATACCCATCATGTTTGTAAGTGCAAATCTCAAATTTCCACAATACTGTTAAAAAGAAAAAACAAAACCCAAGATCTGGGATACCAAATTCTGTGTGCATGCATTTTAAATCAATTTAGCTGCTCTTTACAAAATACATTTATATCATGTTGTGCATTTCCAGTGGCATTTTGAGAAATACAATTTTCCATTTACTGTGAGAGGTGCTGGTTTTCACCATGTTTCCAAAGAAAACAAACATTTTAAGTATAAATCTGAAGACAACCATGCTACCTTGCCTTAGCAAGGAGTCTGCTTCCAATGAAATAAAATCTTCACTTACCATTAAGGTTTTGTTTTGTTTTTTTTCCTCCCAGTGAATTGGAATACATATATTATAATTTGATTATACCAAAACTTGCTCATATTAAAGTTGTACTGTGAAATGACTTCACCATAGTTAGACTCCACTGAATGTGATGAGCCAAGAACTTGTCACATTCTGAATATAACATACATGGAATATGCCATCTATATATAATCACTAGGAGGATAATCTCTGTGCAGATTTTCTCTGGTAAATCTTGTTGCTACCAGAGCCGCATGACTGGGAAAAACTGCCATATACGCTGAATATAGGGTGGTCATATATAAAAGCTCCTCCTCTCCCACAAAAGAAACAAGCAAACATTTAATCAAAATTTCTTACCTCAATTGTATTTCTGCAGGTGGAGAAATTTTGGTAGGGTGTAAATCAGAAGGTGATTTGGTATCCACAATAAAGAATTGCACAGTTGGATTTGTAGCTCCTGCCTAAAAATAAAATTTTTCATTGTACTTTTGAAGAGAGAATATTCTTAGTGAAATACGTGTTTTAAACTACAGATGAAGAAATTGCTACAGACAGTCAGGTAGAACCAGCCAACTTCAAACATGTGAAAAGACAAGTTACTAAATGAGGTTCTTAAGATCGATACATAAATTATCCTTTGTATTTTTTTTATATGAAAGCATTAGTTATGTATTTCTAGATAAGACAGACCACTACACTTAGAAACATTTGTAACCACGTAGGGCTTGCTGTATCCAAAGCAGTATTTGGCCATATCTCATCCCACATGCCACACAGAATATCTAACAGTGACTCAAATCCATTGCTAACAGACAGAAAAGTGCTTCTTCATGGAAACTGAGACCTTACATTACGTGATCATATAATAGCTGCCTATACCACAATCAAAGCTGTGACTGCAGCACATACTCCGCTATTTTCAATGTAGTGCTACTAGGTACTGACAGCAATATAACTGCATCAGTAAGGGCTTCTTCTCTAGAATTTAACTAGCCAAGTCCTCATTGTAATGGTTAGGTAGCTGTAGTTGGCCCACCTCCAAGGGGACAGGCAAAGGCCATGTGCTCCTGAAGCTTTGGGAAGGGTAGGGGGTGACCGGCCATGGCTGCCGCAGAGAAAGCTGAACTTGCCTCAAAGACAACCGGAGGGCAGCTTTTACACCAGACAAACAGCTGTATCAGTTGAGCAATCAGCTGGCTGTATCGGCTGTTCTGCCTCAGTTAATCAAGAGTGAAAATACCTTCCTGAGCTGGCCAGACCAGCGTGTGTGGGATATATACGTGCCTCAGCCCAACACAGGGTGGAAAAACCAAGTGATGAACAAGGAGAACTGAAGAAAGCGATGGGCTTGAGATGGCTTCAACCCACATATTCCTACTTGGCAATGGGGATGCCCAGGAGACCGGCAACAAAAATAGTGCAATTGTAGTCTAAGTGCAATTTGTACTTGTATTGTGTCTTAACTGCATTGCTGCATCACTCTGCTAAATCAAAATTCCATGTAATGTCAAATAACTTCACACAGATACATCTTGTATTAAACATGAAACCCCTCACATCTGAAATCTCTGAAAGAACCTGTTTGGAGCGTATTGGACTCTGACTCTCACACCATTTAGTCCAATGCCAGCTGTGCCATGAGTAGTGGGCACAAAGTCACATGAAGAGGAAGAGGGAGGAGAAGGAGCTGCATGCACTAAAGGCTTTGCTCTCATGGCTAAAACTGAAAGAGCTTTAGGTGTGGTCAAAGAAACTCCATCAGCAGACTCCTCTCCTTCCTCCCAATATAGGAAGCATCCAACAACTAAAAATGCTACATTAGTTGAAGAAGATTCCATTATCAGTACCACATACAACCCTAACACAATGTACATCTGCCAAATGCTTTGTACCAACTTCAACTCCCCAAGAGCTTTTTTTATCTCCATATCTACTTGCTACATCAAAATTTTCTGGTGAAACCACAAAACCTTAAATCTTTTTTTTTTCTTTTCCCTGGAGATAATAAAATACTTTAACATTGCCAGATGCTGTTGACTTCAGAAAGAGTAATCACAGCAAGCTGTTAAGGAGAGACAGACAATATTTTCATTAGCAGAAACTGATTAAATGAGACTACTCTCTTAATGAAACTGCAGAACAACCATGTTTAATAAATAACACAGACCTTGGGATACGGGATTCTAATGGTCTTTGGATACTGCAAGGTGTCCTCAGAATAAAAGGAATACTCTATAACAGGAACTTCTGTATCATTAAATGTTGCATATGCCACAAAATTGCCATTTGGAGACCACCACAGAGCAGAATGGGTGCCAAACATTTCCTCTGAAAGAGATGCAAATGCGTTTAAGCTTTAACTGGCAAGTTTACTCTGCTATCCTAGGTACTGTTCTCGATAGTTTTTAATAGATTTTTTTTTTAATTGAAGTTCAAATACCAAAGTGCAGACTGTCAGGGTTCTGACATGAGTTGTTAGATCAATGATTATAATCTATCATATGAAGCTAATTCACACACTATGATTTCCAATGACACACTGCAAGTTAGGCAAACTCATTTCCATTCTTAGGTCCTCACACTAGCCAGGTATTAAGCTCGGGTAAGGATGCATGCTTCTGTTAAAATCCAGACATGTTATTTTGAGCTTTTCAAAGACACAAAATGAGATAACAGTTATAATAAAATAATTACAACAAAACAAAGGTTTTATATCATCATGTAAAGTAAAATATGCTTGGTATAGTTACCTTCATAAACCCAATCTGGTATTCCATTGAAAATTTTATTTTCTTCTCCATTGTCAGTGATTTGCACAGATTCTGCTGTTGGTGAAACTTTTATATAAACATTATTATTCCAAACATATGCCTGCAAAACGTAATTGTGGTTACAATTACTGTGAGAGTAAATCCTACTTCCTTCCTTTGCCACATTTAGTGGGAAACGTAGTTTTACATCAGATGTCCAAAACTGTTTTTGAAAGTTGCATTTCACCAAACATCTTTGATACTTAACAAAATTGAATTACTAATACAAATCATATGCAGCAACCTAACTTCAGGCCTAGATGCAAAAACCAATCAACTATGATAAATGACATGTTTACTGTATCAAGTTTTGAAAACCATGCTATTCATTTTCTGTTGAGATACAAGCTTATTTTCCTTCATAAGAGGTTGTTTTTCTCTGATTTGTCTTTCAAAGAAAACTATCACTACTTTGGTAAAACATTGATGGGGGTCTCAGCATTGCTAATACATCTGCAAAGATGATGCATTTCTTCAGTAGTGCTCAGACCTCCCATAGTTTTTGGCACCTGTCTGCCTCTCTAATCACTCCCAGTTTTCCTCTCTAATGACTGAACAGCAGTTTTATGCCAGAACTTTACTCTGTGATACAGAAAGCTCTTTTCAACATCCTTTGCTTGTGTGGTTGGGCTCCATAATCCCTATACTACAAGCACTAAGAATAAACACCACAGTCTCCTGTGATACATCTTTAGTCAGATCCAACACTCACCACAGGGAATGCACAAGCCTTGCAAATGCAGTGGCTGTCACGATTACCATGGATTGGGGAGGAGAGGAGGAAGAAAGACAGTGGGAAAGATGACAAGAGAGATTTTGATCGTCTAATTCCTGTCACATGCATCCATCAACACTTCATTGCTTACAGTGTAATTAGGAGATAAAAATCACAGTGATGAGTAAGTAGACAACTGTAATGCTGCTGCCTTTGAAAGAGATGAACTACTGTCTGCAACTGTGAAAACATGAAGTTCCTGCGCATTTGTGCATTATATGACTACTGGGGCCTCTACTACTTTCAGGAATAACATTAAAGAACAAAACAAAACTCACAGAGGGATTTTGGAGTCTTTCCAGCAACAGTAGCCAATTTGAAAACTAGTTCAGCTACTTCATCTAGCAGCAGGAAAGTCCCAAAACCTCAAGGGTACATATAATGTGAACTTCCATGCCATGTGTACAAAAATGACTGTTTACATAAGTTTCACTTATCTTTACTAACCAGTTTGTGACCAACAGGTGACCAGGATATATATTGTGTATCATTAGGTAGCAGACTGTCATCCAAGATAGAACTGGAAAAACAAAAACAAAATGCAGCTAAGAGAAATGTCATTTCATTGCAAAATAATGTTAAAACTACACCTTGCGAGCAAAAATTACTGACCTGCTATTGAAATCATAGATGTGATACGAAGCTGTATAGGAATGCCTCCACAACTGCAAAAGAATTATTTTAATATTAATAAAATAAATTTTGCCAGCATTCATCTCTCTTACAGTTTGAATTACCTCTGAAACCCTCCTCACACTTTCACATAACAGGCAGAACTCAATGAACGTACAAGGCTAACAAATCTCTGCAAGGTTTAAGACAAGACTAAAGAATCGCCACCCCTCTGGGGTCATCACTTAAATACTATGATGGAGACCACAAAGATACAAAGGTCAGAAATGCTGCAGCTTTTCAGAAATCCTTGTTAGCTACATGGCAGACTATCATAGCTATGCACAGTTAATCCTCCTTCTGCTTTACTGGCACACTTGCTGTTTTCTGTCTTTTTCCATGCTGTATTATTTAACTTGGCATCTTATTGTTTAGTAGTCCTCATGAGTCCAAGCAGTATTTCCGTAGCAGTTCCTCCAGTTCCAGGGTGACCTATCCTCATTCATACGATCACAGAAAAAACATTTCTCTCAGAAACCTGCCTCTTGAAGTCTGTATCATTCTGTGGACACTTACAGAAAGAAAGATGATGATGATGATGATGCAGATATGTTTAAATGTCTTCATTACGTGGGGCCGAAGAGGTTTGATTTAGCCCACAGTGTTGACTTGCCACCATAATGCTACCTTCTATGATGGTTCTTGAAGATTTGTATGAACATATAAAACAATTACAGTACTACACAACCAGATGGCTATTACATAAGAAGTGTCTACATCCTCATGATTCATTTTGTTACTCTGTTTTCTTGCAATAAGGATTAATAACAACATCACTTTCAATAACACTATTATATAAAGGTTAAAAGATCTTGCTTCAGCATTAAAATAAACTTTTATGACTGCAACGAATAAAATACTATAGAGCAATAAATCATGAGTAGAGGGGATGTCTAGGGTGGCTGGAAAATATAAGGCATTTTGTGGCCACTACTGATGCAGTGAAAAGTCAAACAATTCTGAACAACTCAGAAAGGCTTAGTAGTATCTAGCAAGGAAGCCAAAACTGCAAAAAAGCGATGACTGAGTGCATGGATTGTGGCTGGCACAGTGTGAGAGGCATTCTTGGTCTGCAAAGCCAGAACATATACACAGAGCTCAGTCACACAGTGCTCGTATATTTGTACATGGCACGAGTCAGCACAGAGCTTTTTACAAAAAACTCAGGCAGCTCTCTAGAAGAAAAAAAAAAAGGAAACGGCAACAAAGTTACTGGCTTCTCAGTGCACACACTGTAGGGCAAATTACCACCTACATTAGGTTTCTGTAACTGTCCTCAAGTGGCACAGACAGACAGGTTTTCACGCCAGCTGGCATAAATGTACGTTGACCTTTGTTGCACGGTTCA